TTCTGTGTAGTTCTCTTTACAATACAGCATTTATATTATCCTTTGAGCCATTTGATTTACAGTTGAAGAATGTACAATTTTGCTTAAAAGTTTCTGTGTCTTTTTTTGATGGGCTAAGAAGCATAAGGTATGTGCTCTATCTCCTTTTCTTGCTCACTGCTTGCCTAAAGTAGGAGGTATCAGACTTGGAGTTAATGGGGCAGTAACTTGGCTGTGGTCTGTGTTACTCAGTAGCCTGTAGCCTCCATAGATACTGGTTCCTCCCCAAATTCCTGGCTTCTTATCTCTGTATGTCTGTCTTCGTGTGCTTATGCATGCACCTGTTTTTGAACTATTGAAAGGTATGTCACTGTTAATAATTAACATCTGTTGCCAGGAATCTGGATTTTCCATTACTAGAATTACCTGTGCCAAGCAATTAAACAAATATGACTCCTAGTAATCTTATCAACTAAAAGAATTTTTTGTATGCTTCATAATTTCAAAGTATTCAAAAGAGTTAGTTCTAATGCCCCAGACACTTTTTCTTTTACTTTTGACTATTTAAAATCTATTCAGAAGGAAAATTACTTTTGCTACTTTCCTCTTTGATCTTATATGTTTGTCTTCTGAAGTCTTAAGCAAGTGATTTTTAAGTTATTATTCATAAAGTCATAATAAGAGTATTCACATTTTAGCTTGGGACCCGGAATTTAAAAGGTTTTTTATTCAGATACTATAGTAGTGGTACAGGGAAAAAGCCTAATTGAATTTGCTTTCCTTACCTAGTCCACATGCTATTTCATTTAAAAACTAGTGCTTTGAACCGTTTCTTCTAGTTCAACCTCTGGCTGAAATTTGCATTTCCACCCCAGATATACAGAATCAGAACCTACATTTTAACAAAGGAATAAGATCGTGTTGAAGTATAGTTCTGGTTCAGTATATCTGGGGTGAAAATGTAAGTGTCAGCAGGGGGTTGAACCATAAGGAACTGATTTGAAACCCTATTGACGAAAGCTAATTGAATTGCCATCAACATCACTGAAAATAATATCTTAACAAGAGGGCAGGCAATAGATGAGTTAGAATACAAAGTTGACTGAAAATTTTCTGCTATCCTTAAACATACAACAGTAAAATAATCCCATTTGGATAAACTTGTTGGGGAGAGTCACCAGGTAAAAAATGGAACACAGAATGTTTTTTTTTTTAACGTGTAGTATTTTTCCTTTTTTTTATTTTCAAGAAATCATCATTTATATCTGGCATAGTAGAATCAAGAAATACTGGTCTGCTTTAGAAATAAGAACTAACTGGTACATAATAGCATAAGTGATTTGTGTATTAGTTCTTCTTAAGTAAATCATTTCTCCCACAATTTTGTTTATGTGGTTAGCTTGGAGGAGGGGCAGAGAAATGTTTTAAAGGTAAATTGCAGTTCACTTTGGTATAATCTTCATAAATTCAGAGTTAGTTTGATTTAAATAAATACATTTTTTTGTTATCAGGACTCCCCAGTCTTTCTTGATATTGTCATATATATTTGTGGGAAGATGGCCTTCTATGTTTATTTTTCTTTATGATAATCATACTGACAGATCAACCTGGATTACCCTTTGAGTACATCTATAAAAAGTCCAAGGGATTAGTCAACTTGAATTGCCATTTTAATCCCATGTTTGACTCTAGTCTCTTCCATGAACCTCTACATATATATATAGAGAGAGTATATATAGTATTTCTTCTTCAATCACTATTTTTAAGGTAGGCCTATTAAAAGTATAAGGAACTCTGGTTGCATAGTGGTTAATGCATTTGGATGCTAACCAGAATGTTGGCAGTTCAAACCCAACAGCTGCTCCATGGGAGGAAGATGATGTAATCTACTTTCATAAATATTTACAGCCTTGGAAACCCAGTGGGGGTATTATGAGTCAGAATCGACTGCATGGCAATGGGTATGGGCTCCATGAAGTAAGTAGGAAATGTTTGGGCAGAGCTCATAGCTCCATGATTAACATTCCACCTGAGAAGCTATCTACCATTCCTAACAGAGATGTTGGTGTTAGAGCAGTATACCAAACAAAGCAAACCCACTGCCATTGAGTTGATTCCAACTCATAGTGACCCCCATTGGGTTTCCAAGGCAGTAAATCTTTACGGAAGTAGATTGCTACTTCTTCCTTTTGAGGAGTGGCTGGTGGGTTTGAATTGCCAAACTTCTGGTTAGCAGTCAAATGCCTTAGGCACTGCACCACCAGGGCTCCTTAGAATAGTATAAGATCACACTTAAGTTTGTTTGGAGCAGTGTATAAAAACTTGCAGATGCCTTTATTTCTGTGCCAGTGCTTGATTTATTAGCAGGTAATCTAGAATAGCAAGCATATCATCATTAAAAGGAATATTCACATCTTTGCCAAAGAACAAACAATTTTCAGAAATGAAATAATGGGGATATAGTTTAAAAACTTTGTAGAGTTTTGAGTTTTACTATTGGATAATTTATTTCTAATAGGAATAAAAGTATCCTGCAATTCATAGATATTTTATTTCTTAAACATTTAATAATTCTAAAACCAAAATCCAGGGAAAGTTAAACTTTAATCTGTAAGTATCATGACAAAAGAACTTCTGTAAGCTAATTTATAAGATCTATGTGTGGCATAATACTTTCCATACATTAATGTGATCCTGAAAATTTCTTTGTAAACTGAGTATATTTTCCTTTGTCTTTTAATTGTGGAGATGTTTTATATATTTCATCTCCAGTGCTCCTGGTCTACAGCTGACTTCCTAAAACATTAACTTTGTTTTTTCCCCTTAATGTCTGTACCAAGATGTTGTAATCTCTAAACAAACTATTAAGTATGCTACACCCAAAAACCAAACCCAATACATTGAGTAGATTGTGATTCATAGCAACCCTATAAGATAGGGTAGAACTGCCCTCTAGGTTTTCCAGGCTGTAAATCTTTATGGAAGCAGACTGCCCCATCTTTCTCCTATGGAGCAGCTGCTGAATTCAAAGCACTGACCTTTTGTTGGCACTGAGTGCTTTAACCATAGCATCACCAGGGCTCCTAAACATTCTCAAGAAGCCTTTAAATAAATAATAATGATAAAAAAATCAACTTCAGTCTTTTGTAAATAGAATAATTATCCTTTAATTAATAAAGTTTTAACTTTTGGCTTTATTTTAAAATAAGTCATTCATATCTATTGCAAAAAGGTCTTGGAATGGCATCTTCTAACCTCCTCCAATCTCACAAGGGGGAAGCAGAGTCATCAGCAGCAGCCCAGGGCTTACTCCTAACACGCCAGATATATTGCCACCCTCCAACCTTTTACCAATTCCGACACCAATTGTCCTTTCCATGGCACTTACAACTTTTCTGCTGGGTTCAATAATTCGTTGTAATAGCCACACAAAGCTCACAGACAACACTGACGATTTTGGGGTTTATTGGGGAAGTAACAGGCTACAATTCAGACTCAGGAATGTGCTCAGAATACAATTCTTCAATCAGGACAGTCTCCCTCTGATATGCCCTCAGGCACAACTCTTTGGCCCTTGGTGTCTCGGCCTGGCCTCTGCCCTGCTTGGGCAAGTGTTACAAAGCTCTTTTAGCGCTGCTGATAGGTACACTTAGGTGTACCCGACTCCATCAGCGAGGCTTCTGTCCAAGGGCACTCAGCTTTCTCACTCTGTGGGCCAGGTAAGCCCGCCACTCTGTCTCATGCCTCTTGGTTCCACTGCTACTGTCTCTCTGCTGTGATGTCTCTCTCTACTGAGGCATCTCTCTCTTCTGGGGCATCTCTCTCTGCTGCACATCTCTGCCAAGGAGATCCAGTGCAGGGATCTTGGGTCCAAGGATACACTCTACTTCACCTCCAGCTCTTCTCTCTTGATGGCAGTGAGATCCCCTCTCTGCCTCTAGAAGAGCTCGTGTTAGGCCTGGCAGATTGACAAAACTAACCAATCCCAACATCAGAGTTCTACACACCTTATTTGCATGGTCCCACCCAGTAATCCAGTGGGGGTTACAAAGACTATGGCTAGAAAAGCCATACCAAGTAATTCACTGCACTACATCTATAAAGGCATACCTCATTTTATTGTGTTTCACTTTACTGTGCTTTGCAGATGTTGCATTTTTTACAAATTGAAGGTTTATGGCAACACTGCATCAAGTAAGTCTATTGGCATAATTTTTCCAACATGTACTCACTTCACATCACCATGTCACAATTTGGTAATTCTAACGTTTCAAACTTTTTTATAATGCTATTGAACACTTAATAGACTACAAAAAAAATGAAAAACAAACTCACTCCCACCGAGTTGTTTCTGACTCACAGGGACCCCCATTGGGTTGCTGAGGCTATAAATCTTTATGGAAGTAGGTCTCCAAGTCTTCCTTCCATGGAGTAGCTGGTGGGTTTGAACTGCTGACCTTCCAGTTAGCAGTCAAGTCTCTTATCCACCATACCACCAGAGCTCCATTAATAGACTACAATATAATATAAATATAAGTTTTATATGCACTGAGAAACCAAAACATTCATGTACTAGCTTTATTGAGATACTTTTATTGCCATGGTCTGAACCAAACTCACAGTATTCCAAGATGTGCCTATATTTCATTGATATGTGTTAGTGTATATTTTATGTGTCAGATGATTATAAAAGCTAGAGGTAAAAAGAGATAAATGTCATATTGGGTTTTTAAAATTTGTTGGGCCTCTTTTAGGATCAGAAAGATAAAAGAGCAAAATGGAGCTGTGAGTTTAGTCTAAGGTCTTAGATCTGGTTTTCTTAACAGAGTTCTGTCCTGTGTAGATTTGAAGGAGCAGGTGGTTGCTTGAGTAGAGGAAGAGGAAATGCACTTCTCAGTTGTGCATGGAAGTTAAATGTCTAAAAGGAGTGTGAGTGTCTTATTGAAGTACATAAATAATATATCAGAAATGTCCTTTTTCCTACTGGGAGTGACCCATGTTGGTGTGAATCTTTGTCTCAGGAGCTGCGATCACGTGAAGAGGAGCTAACTCGAGCAGCTCTTCAGCAGAAGTCTCAGGAAGAATTGTTAAAGCGGCGTGAACAACAGTTGGCGGAGCGTGAGATCGATGTGCTGGAGCGGGAGCTTAACATTATGATATTTCAGTTGAATCAGGAAAAGCCTAATGTGAAAAAGAGGAAGGGGAAGTTTAAGAGAAGTCGTTTAAAACTCAAAGATGGACATCGAATTAGTTTACCTTCAGGTATGATTGTGTTCAGGTTTTGTATGTCTTTGCTTCATCAGACCTAGGAAGAGATGTGAAATAAGATTTAAAACATTAAATAAATATCTTCAGTCATTTACTTCAATTCATATTCATAAGTAACCAGCTATACAGTTGCCATTTAGTCAACACTGAATCATGATAAACTCCATTGTGTTTCAGAGTAGAACTGTGCTCTTTAGGATTTTCAATAGCTAATCTTTCAGAGTAGATTGCCAGGCCTTTGTTCTGAGGAGCCTTTGGGTGGACTCAAACCTTCATTTTTTGGTTAGCAGTGAGCACATTACCTGTACTATCCAGGGACTCAGTATTCATTATGGAATGAACTAGTTAATTTTTCACGTATGAAACAACATGAGGAGTGAATTACAGTACGTTTTATACAAATTTTTAACTCTCTGCAGGCTTTCATATTAATGAATTAATTGATTTATTTCTTTTAAAGTCAAAATGGAACTTCTTTTTAGCTGATTGCCATGAACCAATGCGAAATACCAAATATTGTGGTATTGTGAAAGTCCAGATTAAAAAACTTTTGATATTTCATTGTTAAGTCTATTATTTCTACATAATCTAAAATGTCATCTGGTAACAGTATGTTTGAGACACTGATGTTAGAGCTTTTCAGCAAAATATAGCAAATACTTCAGTTGTATTACTGTTATCATCTGAGGGTTTAGCATCCTTGAAGTACAAAAATGAACTAGTAAACCAGTTGTTGCTGTTGTGTGCCATTGAGTCGGACTTGACTCTTAGTGACCCTTCCTTGGGTTTCCAAGGCAGTATCACTAAGGAAGTAGATTGTCCAACCTTCCTTCCGAGGAGTGGCTGGTGGGTTTGAACTGCCAGCTTTCTGGTTAGCAGTCAAGTGCCTTAGGCACTATGCTATCAGAGCTCCCTAGTAAACCTAAGAAATCTGTTAAAACATTTTTAAAACTCTGTGACAAAAACATAAAAGAATTGTTTTAGGAAAAGTTAAAAAGAATAGGAAATAACAAACATATATTAACTCAGTAACTTAAGTCTTTAATATTATGTATTATACTTAATTTCAGGACAAACCAAATACACCTACTGTATTTTGTTATTCTTTTTAATACTAGTAAGAATGGTGACAGAACAAGAGTAAGCTGCACTTTTATAGAATATTTATTAAATATCTACATTTCTTCATCTTTCTGTCTTTCTAAATGTATGTATTAGAATTCTTTAAGGATTCTAGTGTTTTCCCAAGATGTGTGCTAAAAGTATAGAATTTTGAAACTGGAAGCAGAAGTGCTTGTCCTTGGGCTTACAGCTGGGTCCACTGGGCTTCCTGCTCTGGTTGAGGTGAATGTTGTATTTCCTGGTTCAGTCTTCCTGTCTGGTGGGTGGTCTAAGGGCTCTGCTTCTGCTCTCCTACATAGTCCTGACCTCTTTTCCCTCCTTGGGCTGCTCAAGAGCCATGCGACTTCCTTGAGCTGTGCTGTGCAGGAGCCTCCCACTGCCACCGCTTTCTTGGCACTGCCACCTTATCAGAGAACCTGGCCCATCCTGCCACATCCTCCTACACTGCAGCGTTTTATTGCACGGCCATGGGTTGTACCTTATCTTGGTTCATTAACAGATCTAGGTGTGGTACAGAGAGAACTAGTCCAGTCTAGCCAGCTGGGGACCTAGGGTGACCATCTTGCATATCCTTGCTATCAAAAGTAAGGGTTTCAACTGCTCTGACTGGCTGTGTGGACCAATAATTATTCATCTGCCTCCAGAGTGCACTGTGCCTCTGCTTCCACTCTCATCCCTATTAAGTGACCTCTTGGGCTCAGAGGACATTCAGTTAACATCCAGAAGTTGTAGCCAGGAAATGTAGTCAACCTGATTCTTAAGTATTCCATCTGGCAGGGTCCAGTGTATAGTAAACAAATGGTGTATTGCCATTTTTGTTGTTTAAAAAAGATATTTGTGGGGACTTCCCATGGGGTGAATCACTCCATCATACAATCACCAATTAAATGTAAGCACAAAAATGTCACAATGTCTGAGAGACAAAGACTTATCACAGTCCACACAAAGAAGCAAGATAAAGCAGTAGAATTGAAACAAAGGACCAGGATACAGACCCAGAATACATACATAAGATGGCAGAATAGGCAGACAAACTACACAGCTTCTTCAAGAAAGAGGAACTAATTGACACAAATACAGAAGATAATTCTGGAGCCTGGAGCTTTGAAAAGAAGGATACAGAAGTGAATTAAACACCAAGTAGTAGAAGAACCAGAATGAAAACAGTGAATAAGGAGACAAATGGAGCTGCAGACTGTCAGCTATCCTGATGGCATGAACCATTTGAATATTTTCAAGTGGTGTTAGGACCTGAGAATTAACCTAAAAATCAGCCCTGCTTGCCAAGGGATGCATGGATGCACTGGTTGCTTATGACTGAAAAGGGAAACAGTAAAGAAGGAGACAAACTGAATTGTGGACTTTCAGCTGTCTAGAGGGTGCAGCCATTTTCAGTATTAACAAGCAGTGGCCATTTTGAATATTTAAAGTGACAGTGTTCTTGTTTACATTCCAGTGACCTAAGAATAGGCTTTGCTTACCAAGGACAGCACAGACCTATGGGAGGCTGTTGACTGGAAGGAGACAGGTGGTGAATGCGTAAGTGCTGCCAACTAGTGAATATAGGAGCACAGTACCCTACTTACCCAGATACATCCAAAGAAAACAAAACTCTTGGGTGAATCACTCCAACATACAACCACCAATTAAATATAAACACAAAAACATCACAATGTCTGAGAGACGACACACCATCACAGTCCACACAAAGAAGCAAGATAAAGCAGTAGAAATGAAACAAGGGACCAGGATACAGGCCCAGAATACATTCCAGAGGAAGAAGCAGCATTAGGAATCTCTGATAAAGAATTCAAAAGTATTATATTTAGATACCTTCAATGGATTAAGAGACAGAGCAAGGAAAACACTGACAAAATTGAGGAAAGCACAGAGAAAACCTGAGGACAATTTGAGAAGACAATACAAGAACAAAATAACAAAGGAAAAATTAGAAATGATAAAAACTCTACAGATAATAATTCAAAAGATTAATGCTACATTTTCAGAAATAGATAACAGATTGAATGGGGAAAGGACTAGATTTTAATCAATGGAAGACAGAATTAGTGAGATTGAAAACAAATACTTCAATATTTCTTTAGAAAGGGATCAGTCAGAGAAAAGAACAAAATAAAATGAAGAAAGTGTAAGGTTCATGTGGGAAGAGGACTAACTGAAGTGCAACTGGAATTCCAGAACAGGATAAGACAAGTAAAACCACAGAGAATATTGTTGAAGATTTGTTGGAAGACAGTTTCCCTGATATGATGAAAGATGAGAATATATCCATTCAAGAAGTCCAAAGAACTCCAAACAAGATAGACCCCAAAAGAAAATCATTAAGACATAATTATACTCAAATTCGCCAAAACCACAGACAGAATGAATCCTGAAAGCACCATGGGAAAAATGAAGAGTTACCTACTAAGGACAACCAATAAGACTGAGCTCTTATTTCTTGGCATCTATAAAATCCTGAAAGAGAAAACACTTCAATGAAGAATTATATACCCAGCAAAATTATCCCTCAAATATGACAGTGAAATTAGGACATTTCTAGATAAGCAGAAATTAAAGGAATCTGTTTAAACCAGACCAACCTCACAAGAGATGCTAAAGACAGTCCTTTGGACAGAGAACCAATAACAACTGACCATTAACACATGTGATGACATAACCCAGAAACCAGTCCATTTATGGAAGTATCCAAAGTAAGCTTACAAGATTGGGAACAGGGAACCGGAGACATCAGTTGACAAATGAGCACAACTACAAACCAAAAAGAGGGGGAAAATAGCATAATTAGAGAACTTATAATGGTGAGGAATTCAAGACAATTGCAAGATACAATGGACTGTTCTAAACTTGGAAAGAAAATAATAAACTACAGGGCAACCTCAAAGAAAAATGATAAACCTTCAAATCAGTAAAAAAGAGGACAAGCACAAATATTTAGCAAATACTAAAACAGTAGCAAAGAAGGAAATGATAACACAATTCATAAACAAAATGAACTCAGCACAGAAAATTTTATGGAACAAAGAAATCAGGAACACCACAAAAAAAGCACATAACAAAATGACAGCAACAAATTCACACTTGCCGATAATTACACTAAATGTCAATGGATTAAATGCACCACTTAAGCAACAGAGAGTTGCAAACTGGATAAGAAAACATGACCCATCAATATGCGGTCTACTAGAAACTCACCTTAGGCACAAAGACAAAAATAGACTAAGAATCAAAGGTTAGAAAAAGATATATCAAGCAAATGACGATCATAAAAGAGCAGGAGTGGCAATATTAATTTCTGTTGTTGATTTTAAGACAAAAACCACCATAAGACACAAGGAATGTCATTATATCATGATTAAAGGATTGATTGAGCAAGAGGACATAACAATAATAAATATCTATGCACCCAATGAAAGAGCCCCAAAATAACTTAAATCAGACTTTAACATAATTGAAAAGACAATTAGATGACTCCACAGTCATAATAGGAGATTCTACTATACCACTTGGAATCACAGATAGGAAAACTGGAAAGAAACTCAACAAAGACACAGAAGAACTAAACAATACAATCCACCAACTTGACCTTATAAACCTCTACGTAGCACTTCACCCAACAGTAGCACAATATACATTCTTTCCCAATGCATATGGAACATTCTCCAGGATAGACTATATATTAGGCCACAAAGCAAGCCTTAATACTTTTAAAAACATTGAAATACTGCAAAGCTTCTTCTCAGATCACAATGCTATCAAATTAGAAATCAGCAATACGAAGATCAATGGAAAAAGAACAAACACATGGAAACTGAATAGCCCTCTGCTTGAAAACAACTGGGTAATAGAAGAAA